AGTTCACCATTGTTTGGGTATCTTGTTCTCCATTTGTATGATATAACCTACCAACTGAAGTCTATGATGATCAGTATTTGTTTCTATGCTGATAGAATTAGCTCTTAAAAGAATTTTAAAATCTGGTGTACGAGATAAAACATTAATTCCCAGATTGTTGTGAAGACAACGCTGATGGAAGCACTCTGGTGCTTTTATTTGTTTGTGCTAGAAAACCAAAGTTTTACAGGAATAAAGAATGCCTGTTAAAATACATGCATTGTATACACTGACCTTTGCTTCTTTTCTTATTCCAGTTCTCGACCACACACGATCTTTTAACAAGGTGAAGACATCTGTAGCTTTTAGAATTCTAAGAGCAATCTCATCACCATCAAGAGAACAGTAATGGTTAATTGTACAACAAAAATAAGAAAATTTCTCAACTTTATGTCCATCAATGAAAACAAATGGTTCAGTATAGGAGTTGCTTGAGGTCAGTTCAAACATAATAACGGTTTTGTCCAAACTTATGATAAGGCCGTTTTGTCTTTTTTATTTCTAGAATGCCTCGCATTTCTATGATAGAATATGATGCTCAATTATAGTCTTCTGTATATGCTTAATGGGATTGAGATATAAACAGTATGGACATAGAAATCAATATTGCATAGTGATTGACAGTTTTATGTCTTTAGTAATCATCGGATCATATATTGAAATAAAGACTAAAATTTGCCATACCACCATCAAAATTAATGAAAATGGACATTCTTTTTACAGGTCGTGAATTAATTACTGATTATATAACATCTGAACTTAATAAAAAATACAGTAATTGCCAATCTATCATACCGGGCACAATTATATTTATTCATATGAACCCTCAATACACACATTATATATTACACATTAAGCAAACACTCATCAATAATAGGTTTCTTTATTATATCTTTGAAAATAAATCAAATTTTATTTTAGGAAGATGACGAGTAAGTAAAAATTCAAAAATATTCCAAAGAAGTAAACTACAACATGGACTTTGAATTTCAACAAATTTCTTTCTTGATAATGACTAAAGCCAGTTGAAAGTTTGCCATCTTAAACTTGAAAATGTGACACCAAAATTAGAAGGTACATTTGAATAGTGAAAGATGCCTTCCAAAAACTAAACAAAATATTAAGAAATAGGAAAACATTATGCATGGTATATATTTTTTATTTTATCTACCAATATTTCATTTCTTTAGAATTTTATTTTAGGCATCAGTTTTATTAACATTTTCTGATTGCTTTTGAATTTGTCTGAAAAATTTTTTATATTCTATGAATCAATTTTATTTTTTCAGAATTTTATTGGTTTGGTTTATTTTGTTTTATGGCATATAAACTTCAATGGGTTATTTAAGCTGACAAGATTTTTAGGATAGGTTCATATGAATAGAATAAGTATTTGTAAGAAATTAGTTTGTAGATCAAATTTGATTGACATATTTTTGTAAAGAGGGTTTTTGTTGAGAGTCAAATGTATTGCTGGTATTTTTACTATAAAAATCTATTTTTATACTTTCATAGAGTTTTTTTCCCCCCACGTTTGGCAGGTGTGTGTGGGGGGGTAACTATTTGCGCATAGCTGGGAGCCTAACAGTTACTACCACCCCAGATCAGGGCAGACCTGGGAACAACAGCAATTAAGAGGTGGCGCCATGCTCCTCAAAACCTCCCAATCAGGGGCCTTGCTGCCAGATGTAGTTTATCATCATACCCAGGGCACAAATTTTCTTGTGTGTTATTTTATTCTGTATCCCTTTTTAATTTCTGTATTTGATCTGTTTTGAAATAAAAAAAAAAAAAAAAAATCCTCACTTTTCTTTTTTATTTATATGCATCAATTTTATATTTTTTAATAGATATCATTTTTATTTTATTTTTTTTAACATATCAGTTTTATATCAATATTGGTAGATATTTCATCTAAAAACATTTTTTACTTTTATGTATGAATTTTTCATTTTACTTTTTTTAAAAAGGAGTCTTTTTTGTTCCTATAAATTGCTTTTATTTTTTATATTTGATTTTTGTTTAACTTTATTTAAAACAATTACTTTTTCCTTTTCTTTTCTTGCATATATTATATAATTTTATTTTATTTTTTCTTAACTGAATGTAATTAGTTTTAAAAATATCAAAACTGTTATTGGGATTATAATATAGCAACTCCAAAATACCTACCCAGATACAAAAACTATCATATAGAATAAATTAAATAAGTTTAAATGAAAAATCAAATAAGCCCATTTATATTTTTTTTTTTGTTACACTGTCAGTTTTATTTGCATGACATGCATGTAATCTATTTTTATGCGTTACTTAATTTATTTGCCTGATAAGAAGTATCTATTTTTTGATTGACCTTCTCAACTTGTCCCAAACCTTTCCAGAATGTTGACTTTAAGCAGTTTGGTATGATGCCATGAAGATATCAATTGCACTTCATTCTTTGGGTTGGGCTCAGACTTTTAGTCTTCAGACCTTCGTAGACATTTTGGACTTGAAAAAAAAAGTCTTTTCTGAAAACAGCTTTTGTATCTGTTAAGCCATGCAAGAATAATGAGGCCAAATATTTGGTAATAAATACAGAATCCAATAAGTACATATATAAGAGGGTAGGTTAATATGCCTGTGTAGGAGTATGTTTGGTCTATATATATATATATATATATATATATATATATATTAAACACACACAGTAAGGAATTGTCAACCACAGTCTTACTTATTCACAGTAGGCCTATCCAACAAACTTTGTTTTGAAAACTAAAACTATTTTGCAAAATACTTCAAAAATTTTAAATTTAAATAAAAAATACATAAACATGAGTCTTTAATAATAGTCATAGATTTAAAAAAAAAACAAAAAAAAAAAACATGAAAAATGAATCAAATTAAATGTTTTTAAAACCATTAAAAGCAAACTTACAAAAACTTAGACAAATGAAAATAACTTATTTACTGATGACTGAAATGTATGTCTCATTCATGTCCTTTTTACTGTTGTTTTGTCAAACATATTTCTGAGCAGAGGGAATTTCATCCTCTCTTATGATCACTGGAGTTAAGCAATGTCAAGCCTGGTCAGAACCTAGAGAGGTGACCATTTTGGAATACCAGCTACTGTAAGCTTGGATGTGCAGTTGATGTAATGGATAATGGCTCAGAATTGTTAATCAGAGAGCTGAGTTCCAATTTCCATTGGGTTAGTCATATTCACTTATGTGCAAATATTCTTGGGAATGATATAAATCCATCACTTCTCCCCTAGCTATGGGATAATTAGTAAAACTTGTATTATGAAACCATTATCTCAAAAAACAAACTTTTACAATCTAAAATATTTTCTGTCTTTAAATAACTTGAAAATGGTTGATAAGCAATAAAAATGAATCTTCTCTGTCATCTGATGAACTTACAGTAAAATATTGGCAATTAAAGTAAACATTGACTTCATAAAAATTTAGTTGTTATAATTAATGAAAATTCATTTTTCTTTTCTTTTTTATTTAAGAAAAACTTAAGAAACAAATTTAAAAATCTTAATTATAATCTAAAATAGGGTGACAGAGTTTCAGGGAAATTTTGGGGACATACTCAGTTCTATTTGATTCATTATTGTCAATATTCACAGAAACTGTCTATATTTCTGAGATGAGGCATTATGTACACTATTTACATTGTTTGGACTATCATCCTCATCTTTGTTGCCATATTTATCACAATGTTTCGGCCATTGTATGCTCTGGCCTTTTTTCAGGTGGTTGGAATGTTGAACTGAACCCTTTATTTTGCTTGCTGGGGTAGACTGTTCGAGTTGCACGTGCCATGTCTAAAGGATGTCAGTTATCAATTATTGCCTGTTAATTCCCCTCTCCAAGTTCTCCACCACCTTAACCAGGTATTCACACTCTTGGGTCCTGTCACTGGATCTAACACCTTTATCCACTGTGTCATGTGTCCTTGAGGACATCTGTGTATGAATTTTGGGGAATTATAAACCTAATGTCTTCAGCAAGATGTTTTTTTACCAGTGCTCATATTGCAATTTTTGCTGTTATCGTTGCATGTTTTTCACCAGAGCTCATATAGCACATTTAGTTAAAAGTAGGACAATGTGGTCTTCCACCTCAAAAATAAATGAGAAATTATAGAATATTGTCATATCCATAAAGAAACACATAAATATTAATTATACTGTCACTGTGTCTGATATTAAAAATCAGTAACCTTATAAACTGATGAATATTAACAGAGAAGCCTTTTATGAAGTACAAGTGGCTCTTTACAATTGGAGGGGAAAAAAAGTGATCTGAACAGCCATTTGCATTTGTTCACTTCAATACTGGTATTATTTATTGTTGTTCATAAAAATAAGTAAATAAAAATCAATTATAGTGTCAAAAATAATTATAACAATTATAATTATCATTAATTCACCCTTTATAAACCAATGAGAATCAATCCCACTTTTCTGCTCTACACACAGAAAGTGACATTCTTACTATCATATCAGACAAGCTGTCAACACGTGTGTCAAAAGTTTAGGCTCCTTTTCCTGGCTATAATAGCAACATTTATCTCTTAGCACTCAACAAAAATTCAAGGTAAGAAAACCTGCAGACACTTCATGTATTTTCCAACTAAATTATCTGAAGAATCATTACACATATCTATAAAAAATAAAAAAAAAATAAAAAAAAACATGAAAAGACCATATACACTTTACTTATTCTTTATCTTATTCTATCAGATTCCAATCCATTTTTGCTTTACATTTGACCCCCAACTCACAATTTTACTCCGTATTATTTTTTCTTGTGTCTCAAACACCACATGCTCATTTTGGTGTTTCCACATTTTGCTGTTTCTCATTTTTATAAGTATTGTGCAAGCAAATAACATAAGGAACTTTGTTCTCCATTTTCTCATTCTGAGCCTTTATTTATTACACCACTCACATGTCCAAGCTTACAGCACCTGATATTCCCGAGCAGTCACTCATCTAGGTACTGACCAGGTTCAACGTTGCTTAACTTAAATGATAGAGTGAGAACCAGTGTTTCAATGTGATATGGCCATAAGCCCTTAAAAATCCTGTTATGGGAGAATATGATATATAAACTTTAAATATATCAAACTGGTGGGTAACTGGATAACAAAGTGGAAAGTTATATGACACACCGTCTTTTAAAAGGATTTCTACAAACTAAATATAAAAGTCAAATTAATAAAAGGTTCAAATGACTTATCTTTCAACTGAAATACACTCATCAGGCTCAGATAAATCAATTGAATTACTACCTGATATATTTATACTTTACACAAGAAATGCTAATCACAGACTCAATAAATTTCAAATTTGTACTATGGTAAAATCCATCAACAACAACTTTTTTTTTTAAGGTGATGTTCAACCTATACATGACAACACTTAAGTATAGAGAAAATACTATATCACTGAAGAGCATTGTTGTAGTATAGACAAATTCTCAATGTAGAAATATCAGAAGATTCTCAAAGAAAATGTGAAGAACACATGATGTTGGACTTAACTGCACATTATATTTGTCTATTACTCTAAATAAAATCTCTTGTCAACCATGAGCCTGGCATTGTTTATCAGTTACATAAATAAATCTTTGAAGTCAATTAAAAGATAAATCAATTGAATCTTATTAATTTATTGACTATTGTTGCTCTGGTTCTCTACTGAGCCATTTCTTGATAAAAATTCTGCACACTGTGAAATATATTAAATTCTAGTTCTTAGGTAAACATTTTTTTTTTTTTTTAGCATCTTGCAATATCAGGCAAAACTACACAAAGTGCAGCCTACCCTATTTTTGACTGGGATATGATTAAATTTTATACCTTTTTAGTAAAGTCTTTATGAACCATGTCTGGGTCAGGAAAAGCAAAGAGTAATTATTTCTCAATGATAAATTTCTAAAAATGAGGGCTTTGTTCAGAGAGCTGGTTTTATTATAAGGCAGAAAACTATGGCCCTTGTAAATGTTGCCTGCTTAAGAGAGATAAAAAAAAAAATGACTGAATCAGGTTTTAGTGAAAACTATTTGATCAAAGTATTTTGCCAAGTTTAAAAATATGAATGAAAAAATTATTTTTTAATGGTACAATAAATCAAGTGTACACACATAGATAATGATAAAAACATACAATTTTGGTAGGAAAAGGAAAAACAAAAAGAAAAGAGTGAGAGAACGAAAAAGGGGGGAGAAAAAAAAAAGAGAGAAGACAAACTGAAAAATTGAAAGAAAGAGGACCAATAGAAAATAGAGAAAGAAAGAAAAAAAGAGAAATGAGAAAAAAAAGAGAGATAAAAACAAACAAGAAACAATAAATGAGAGAGTAAACAAAATGGAAAGAGAAAATACAAAAAAAACAGAGTGAAGGCATAAGGCACAGACATAGCAAAGATAAAAGTGAAGGTAAAGAAAAACAGAGGGGATGAGGGGAAAAATACAAAAAAAGAGATGATGAAAGGACAAGAGAAGACATAAAAATGAGAGAAATTAGAAAAGGAAAGAGAAATTAGAAAAGGAAAAAGAGACAGAGAAGACAAATGAAGACAAGGAAAAGAGAAAGAATATAAGAGTAAAAACGCAAAAAGGACAAGAAAGAGAAGGCACAAGAAAGACAGAAAAGTATAAGAGTGAAAAAACTAAAAGAAAAGGAAAAAATGCAAAATCAGAAGAGAGAGAGAGAGAGAGATAGAAACGCAAAGACTAGATAAAGACAACAAAGAAGAATGTGAAAACAAAAAACAAGAGTGAGGGGGAAGCAAAAAAAATCTTAAAATATTATTTTATGTTTTCAACCATTTTCATCTTCAAAATTGCTCATTTATAAATGGGAATAGTTGTACAAGCCAACGTAAAAAAAAGGTATTTTAAAAAACAAAAAATACATAAAATTTTGCCCTTATTAAAACCATTTAGGCATATCTTTAAAAGTGTATAACTACCCATCCTACGAACAAAGGAAAGCTATCATAAAAGTTCTCTTACCGCTTTATAATGTCTGGATAAACAACATCTATTTTCTAAAGTGCTTTTTTGTCATTATGCTAAGTCCACTTGAATTTCTTACCCTTCATTGAGCTAAACATGAGAAACATTTGAATAATTTTCTAGTTTATATTAACCCTTTGAACCCTGACCCATTGATGAATATAGATCTCCCACCCTGGGATCTTGCTGTCCATGACTGACTAGTTTACCGGCTGTCCATGTTAATGCACTTTCAAACACTTGGGTTCAAATAACACATAATGAGGAAAGAGGGCTTGGAGAATTTGACACTTATAGGATATATTAAAGACAAGAGAAATAGAGAAAAAAAACAGTGCATAACCTACTTAACAAGCTTATGTAAATGGATATCTGAACAGGAGAATTGGAGAGATAGCAAAAAGACAATTTACAAAGATAAGACAATGATAGGAAATTGTGGAAAGCCATGATTGGCAACTTTCTGAAAGGGACATGGCACACAGAAAAAGCCAAATACTAGTCCCACAAAAATATGTTATGATTGAATTTCTTTTACCTCTTTAACATTTCTGTATAAATAACATTTTTAACAAGACTTGTGTTTTCTAAATTTCTTTTTGTCATTATGATAAGTCCACTTGAATTTCCGACTCTGGACATAGCTACAACAAGCTGACCATGAGAGAAACATTTGAATAATTTTCAAATGTTTATTTTAATAATAATAATAATTCAGCAAACTTACTATTTTTTTGTGTAAATAATTCACTAGTTTTAAGGAAATCTAATTAAACAGGTTATTTTTACCTATTTAGATAATTCCATAAAATTATTTTCAGTTCTTTTTGACTAATTTCCAGTAATATGAAATATCAGATAAGAACAGTGCTTATTATAAATGCTGAAGATTTTCTAACTCACAACTGAATTTTGACAAGGAAGATATAAATTCTTTCTATACAAAATGGGATGAATTTAAAAAAAAATCTTGACAAACATTGCTTATATATGGCAATTTTTAATATTTGAATTAAAAATAAATAGCATAGATGAAATATTTATTAAAATAGGATTTTAAAAATTGTTATGCAAACAAAAATGTTACTGATTATGTTTGAAATACCATTTTTATAAAAGACTGGTAGTAAATTGTTACTGGTATGGGCTCAGCTGCTTTGTTCTCCTGATGTAAGGTGAGGACAAAGATAAAATTTAACCTTACATGAATTTATAAGAGATTACTTTTACAGGTTTGAATTTTGGGGGGTTTTTCCAAATAAATATTCATTGGGTCCCTTGAGGTATTTTTTTTTTTTTGTTCTCTAAGCCAGAAAATCATTCATCATCATTTACAGACTGATGCTACAAAATCAAAGAGAAAGAAATTTATCAAACAAACATCTCATCACCTGAAGACTTCTAACAGCAACTAAAATGGATAGCACATGTAATTAAAAGGGAAATTAATTATTTAATCAAAATGTTGACTTTTCACACTAATTTCAAAAAAGGTTAATCAAACTTTTGTCAATATTAGAAATATATATAACAGTGGAATTGAGAATCCTGGTTTCTGGGGAAAAGAGAAAATAATTTCTTTGATGCATATAATTCAGAGTTATTGTACATATTCAACAAATGCCAAAAATTGGGGTTCAGGTCCAGTTAAAGACAAGTATTTGCTGATTTTTCAAGACTGACAGGGATTTCCAACTTGGAAAACAGTTGTAATACAATGTTTTTGTTTCCCACCCTATTTGGTCTTATTTACTAAGCTACAATTAATATCAAGGGGCTTTTTTAATTGTTTCCTTAGTTATCTTGTTATCCATTTATTTAAAACAACATGCCTGGCTGCATACACAATTCCAGAAACTCCTTGTTGAAAATACAACTATACTTAAACATGAAAACAAACAAAAACTAAAAATTCTTGAAGCTATATACATAAAAATTTTTAAATGTCTAATTTATAACAGAAGGCATTGGTTTATACCAATGGTTTCCTATACTTAATACTTCTCATTTTCACAGATGTGTGATCATGTGTGACGTCATGAGCTGCAGTGTGATTTTCGCTTCCAGCATCTCGTATGCACAAGTTTGTTGTTGCTTGGAAATCTTCCATGTAAACAAAAACAGACTTTATTGCTTTGTCCATGTATTGTTTAATGTAATTGTCATCTTTGATAATGGCTTATATAAGCCGAAAACTTAGATAGGATTAAAAAATATGTATCAATATTGTGATTTTCTTTCTTCTTTTAATGATAATGTTATTAAGCTTATCAGACGATATGAAAAGAATTTACATAAAATAGACAAAACTTGTCTATTGTTTAATGAAACATGTATGTATATATATATATATATATATATATATATATATATATATATATATATATATATATATATATATATATATATATATAAAAAAAAAGATTAGATCAACTAATCATGCTACCTTGGTTTCAACCTTTCAGTATGTTCAGGTGATCTGGGATGAATAATTTCCTAACACTTTATTACTTAAAAATAATTAAACACACAGTGCAAAGTGTAATAAAAGGGGAGGAGAAAAGTAAGGGCATTGAAATTATATTCGGGGGGGTGGGTATGAAATGTACATACTTTTTGTGTGTATGCATTGTGTTATTTCTGATCTTTCATTTAGAAGGTTTTTCTGGTCTGTAAATGTTATTCATTTATTTAATTTTAAATAATAAAGCATTAAGAAATTATTTCTCCTGAAAATACCAAAAGGTTGAAACCAAGTTAGTGTGATCAGCTGATCTAATCCTTTTGAAATAAAAAAAGCTCTACATGTTAAATTTTATGTTATTTTCTTTATATGTGTATTGAGCACTTTTTAATAGTACTGTTTACTGGTCTAATTCAACTCTGATCAATAACTTATATATATATATATATATATATATATATGAGAGAGTGAGTTTAACATTTGCTATATTTATAAAGGTAAGAGTGATCAATATCAGATGTTTATGGATATTGACATTATAGTATAACACCATAATCTTTGCATAGGTGAAAATCATGATAACTA